ACCTCTCGGCCACTGCCGCACCTATGCTCGAGAGCGTCGTGTTTCGTCTTCAGCAGCGATTCCCGCTTCTCCCCGTGAACTGGGAACTTTTCGAGATGCTTCGGAGTCCTAGCATTTCCAGCTTCTCGACTTCGGGGAACAGCTTCATGCCTGCAAAAATACCTATCCAGTGGCATCAGCTAACGAACCTGACCATCGACGGACCTGCATGGGAAACCTTATTGACCAGCCAAATGGTGTTGCAGACATTCTCCAAATGCCCCGAGCTTCGCAGCTGCAAGCTGGTCATCAATGACGCCGCGGACGTCGAAACAGCGCTGCATTCCACGGCGGAACTTCGATTTCTTCATACACTCGACCTGGACTTTGGAAGCGTGATCTACAGATTCCCACAGTTACTGGAGCGTCTTTCACTCCCCGAATTACGCACCTTTACCCTTCACGGGTATGCAGATCCTCAAAATCCCTTCTCCCTGTCCCCCTTCTTCAGTTCTTGTACTCGTTTGGAGAGTCTCGCCATCGCTAGCAATACATTTTCCAAACCTCTTTTACTGGATAGCCTCGGCAGTCTGCCGTCCACTCTGCGGCGGCTCAGCATCCTTGAAATCATGTACGGAGGGGGAGGATTCGAACTTGAGCGTCTTGACGATGATGCTCTGATGGTCCTGGAAACTTCGGGTGCACCATTGGTGACTCTGCAGATAAATTTCTGCTCCACAATCTCAGACGAGGGTCTTCTCAACTTCATCCTTGCAAGGGTGACGGAGAAGTCTCATACCAGACTGGAATGCGTCGAGATTCAGTTCTCCAGAGAAATGGTGCTCGACATCCTTCCCAGCCTCGAGCCATTTATCGAGACTGGTCTCGACATCTCTATCACATATTCTCCACCTCAAACTACCTCCAGTCCATTCTCACCCTGGCAGGGATTGGCCGATGCACCGGGTCCATTCGATTACTGGTAGATTCGTAACAATCTTTCACGTCTAATTATGCGCTTCTGTGGTGATTCTTGGCCTGTATACATAGTTCATTAACTTTTGAATTCAGGACGACGCTCACCGAAATGGGCACCCCGTACCATCAAGCATAGGGAACATATTATTTCTTTTGAGTTGAATCCCAGTCTTCATTTGACATCGAGGTTTCATCGTAAGCTTTCTTCCGCAAGATTCAAGTACTTAGGTATTCGGTCCCCGTCCGTCCACACAAACGTCCTAGCACAGCGATGTGCCGTCACAGGGTCCAAATGGAAGAGGAACCAGAAATGCAATCATCAGCCGTCCACTTCCTGCCATGCTCAAATTGACTGTGACCTGTCGTCCAGTGTGATTTCGCTCTCGTAACCAACACAGCAATCTTGAAACGAAGCCGGAGATTCAACGCCTCTTCCTCTGTCGGTCACTCGGGGGCTGACTTCGCACCATCTTCCTCGCGGTACTATCCACGGAAATGCCAGTCTGTTTGGTGATCAGTGCCAGGGGCACTCATCGCAACACGGTCTGGACAGAGGGAAACAAACCAGTTCAGCTGCGGTTAACGTTGGAAAGCGTTCAAGTCTGCATTGTTTGAATGCATTTACAATTCTCATCTCATGCCACGCGAATCCGGCTCTTGAATTCACTCGCTGAGCTGAGGCCTAGCAATAGTATGCAGGACACCATTTTATCCTCTATTCAATCCAACCAATACCTTGCTACTTCCCACATTTTTCCAATCCTAGGATAAAAGACCTTCCCCCGGACAGTCAAGCTTTCTCGTGCGTTTAAAACGGTGGATTCGGGTGAGTAAATCCAACATGCCGGAGTACTTATAAATAACGCTACAACGGTATGTTCGTATTAAAAAAATGTTGACCGAAACGCTTCATGATGACTCGTCCATTCGGTTGACCCAATCTTATTCCACGGGTCATACTGTTGGGAGGATCAACAATGTCAGTGCGAATCATTGTGCCGATTTCCAACATCGCCGATATCGTCGAACATGGGCGAAATTACTTCAACCAAGGCTCAGCACAAATCGGACGTTTGGTGCCTCCATAAATTTGGTGTGCTTCGTAGTGGCCTTTATGATCCCGTCCTAGTTTGGTGCAGATCCTTGCATCGGATTCGAACACATGTTTGAACTCATGTTTAAATATGTCGTCGATAAATCCTTTGTATGAATTTTCTGTGCACTTCTCCTACTCGAAGATGTAAATATGTGTCTTATATCTTACTCTCACCGCACCACCTGAGAATATCAGTAGCCTTGACCTGCTTGGACACTCCGTTCCACTGCCAGCTGCTTTGCTATCTCATGTTCATTGCACAAGTTTCCCTTGCTTGAATTTCAGCCTTGTACTACGACGCCAGATAATTTATCAACGGAGTAGAGTAGGAAGATACGTACGAGGTACGAGTTTCAATGTTGAAGCGACTGTCTATGAGAGACTAGAGAATACGGGAAGCTTTCAACAATTTAATATTTTATAGACTGGCCCTAGGTCTGGACCTTACATTTCGCTTGGATATCTGATCGGCGTGCTCAAATATCTTTTTTTTTTTGCCTCTCCGTTGAGTGTGCATAGACGAGGTCAAAAATGGAAGATGCGCCGTAATACGCGCTTGATTCACATCACATGAGTGCGCCATCACCGCCAGCGCTTGTTCAGCTTCAGTCATGTCTTCACCGTTCGCTGCCCGACTGGGCACCAACTACTGTCCCAAGGACGAGGATATCGTCGACATCAAAGCCCTCCTCGTTGAACCCTCTCTTCGATTGAAGCGGCTTGACGAGGAAATTGCGGATCTGCAAAAAGCCATCGACAAGCTCGCCGCAGAGCGCGAGGAGCTGGGAACCTTTGTGGAGAGCCACAAGGCTCTTATTTCGCCTGTACGCCGATTACCATTGGATATAATCCAAGAAATATTCGTTGCATGCATCCCGACTCACCGGAACTGCGTCATGAGCGCCTCCGAGGCGCCTGTCCTCCTCGGTCGTATATGCAGCTCATGGAGAGCTATTTCGCTCTCCACACCTCGCCTTTGGGCTCGCCTTCATGTCGTTGAACCTCTGTTAGGCTATGGGCCGGCTGCTGAATTACACGAAAAGAAGGCGGCTCAGCGCTTGGAGGTTACCAAGATGTGGTTGGGCCGTTCCGGGCAATGCCCTTTGTCGATCTCACTGCAAAGTGGTTCCGACTACGACTCTCCGCCGGTCACACCTACGACTGTGGAGTCGCCCAGCAGCCAACTCTTAGAAGTGCTCATTGGGTTCGCGTCGCGATGGCAGCATATTATTTTAACGACTCCCGCATCTATGCTCAACAAAGTACACCTCATGGTTACTGAAGTCCCCATGCTGGAGAGCGTTACGTTCCAGCTGCCGCCTGGCTCCGTGCAATGGGAACCTTTCGAGCTGCTTAGCAGCCCCAGCATTTCCAGCTTCTCTGTCTCGGGGAACAGTTTTGTTCCTGACAAATTACCCCTCCATTGGCATCGATTAACGGATATAACCATTTCCGGCTATGCATGGGAAAGCTTGTTGACCAGTGAAATGGTGTTGCAGATGCTCTCTAGGTGCCCCGAGCTTCGTAGCTGTCAGCTAGCCATCAATGACGGCGCGGCCGCTGAAACACTGCTTCATTCCACAGTAGAACTTCGATTTCTTCATACACTCATCTTGGATTTTGGAAGTGTAGCCTCCAAAATCTCACGTTTATTCGAGCGTCTTTCACTGCCCGAATTACGCACTTTTATCCTTTACGGGTCTGCAGATCCTGGAAGTCCCTTCTCATTGGCCCCCTTCTTCGGTTCCTGGACTCGTTTGGAGAATCTCACCATCGCCAGCAATACGTTCTCCCCATCATGTTTACTCGAGACTCTTCGGAGTTTACCATCTACTCTGCGGCGGCTCACCATAATTGAAATCATTGAGTACGGAGGACCAGGAGTCGAAATTGGGCCCCTTGACGAAGATGTTCTGGAGGTCCTGGCTATTTCACGTGCACCATTGGAGTATCTGTACATAAGCTGCTCCACGATCTCCGACGAGGCTCTCCTCAAGTTCATCACTGCAAGGATGACGGCGGAGTCTCATGCCAAGCTGGAACATATTGCTATCCTTTTCAACCGAAAGATGATGTTCGACATCCTCCCCAGCCTCGAGTCGTTTATCGAGAATGGTCTCGACATCTCTATCATATATCCTCCTCCACTTCAAACTACCTCCACGGGATTCTCACCCTGGCAGGGATTGGCGATGGACTGAAGGAACCACACTACTGGTAGATTCTCAACAATCTTTCTGGGTATAATTACGCGTACTTCTGTGGTGAAAGTTCTCGGTCTGCATATGTCGTCTAAATCTATAAACCCACATTTTCGGCTTCACGTTTCGGTTACTCTCCGAATTTTAACCACATTCAAGACTCTCATCGTAGTCGCTGCTCCAATTTCATCACGAGGATGGATGAGATTCGACAAGGTCGATACTCACCGTTCTCAAATTCCAGATAGACACTGCAGTCGTACGTCCTCGGATGGATTGCTGTCGAAAAATATCACGGGAAATACTATTGAAGAGAAGGCAATGATACTCGTTGTTAATCTGTGAATTGTGAAGCCGATTTACAACATCCCCGAGATCGCCGATTATGTCCAGACTGATTTTGACAGCACCGCACAGCTTGAACATGCCCCGCTTCCGGGCATGGTGGCACTCCTAGTGTTCTGTCCATAATCGGAGCTTGTTTTATTTCGTAAATTTTTGCGTTGGATTCTAACCCTTGAGGTTGAGTTGATGTGTCATTCAATTCAATTCAAGTCTCAAGAAACGCATGTCGCACGCCGTCGGATTCCGCGTAATGAACCGTTCGCCACCTTAAAGGAGTATCTCTTTCCACTCGCAGTTGAAGTATAAGTATTGCAACTGCCCATCCCTTGGTTGATCCAAAATCCTGGGAGAGAGAAAAAATCACTGCTTAGCGTGAAGCTTCTCAAATGAATCACAATCATGGCCTGGTGGTGTAGCGGTAACATGCCCTTTGAATGTAAAATTCGAGCTCATATTTGTCAAGGGAGTCCCTTGTTCGAATCAAGGTCAGGCCGATTGTGTGGATCTTTTTGCAAAAGACGAAAATATCCCCTCCAACAAACCTCAACGATGCAAGCATCACGCAGCTCGTGAGGAAACATCCAAAACTACAGCAAGACGCGACAAATCGAAATAGATCGACACAACAAATACAAAATATTCCAATATCACCCCGCCCGCGCCGCTCTTCCCCATCATACATCGAACACAAAGTCCTCCTCCGGTGGTGCCTCCACATCCCCCTCCATCACAATCCCATCGAATCCATCAGGTTCGGCGGCTGCAGGCGGAGGCGGTCTCCGTGTCGACGCAGCATGACGCGACGAAAGACCCAAGCCGCTCCTCGTCGTGGCAGCTGTTACAGAGGGACGTGTCGACGTCGACGCAGCCGTAGCGGCAGGACGCACGGGGGCAGTACGCGAGGTGGTCGCGGCAGTCGCAGACGACCTCCCCACCACAGTCGACGACCCTGAGCCCGACCCCGGCGCACGCGACGCTGTCGGCCGGCGCATCGACGAAGCGCTTCCTGACGACGCCAGTGCAGCACGTTTCCCTGCGGGCGCGCTCGTCGTGGGCTCCCGTGTGGAGGGAGCACGGACAGTCGGCCGCGTAATCTGCATTTGTGTCCGAGTCGCCGCAGACCGCGTCGTCCCCGTCCCCGTGCCCGCCATCTTCGTCTTCGGAGCGCTGGTGGTAGCTGGAGCCGGAGCGCGCGCCTTGCCCGCTACTGCTGGAGTCCGCGTCGATGGAGGCCGCCCCGCGCCGGTACCACGAACAGCTAACTGCGTCCCCAACGCCCTCACCACCGCCGGGGAAGCCCGCGTCCGCGTCCCCATGGCCAGCCCGGGCGGGATCCGTGTCTGCGCCTGTGTCTGTGTCTGGCCTGCCCACGCCTGCCGCCGTGCGTCGGCGGTTGGCATCTGGCAGCTGATGGGCTGTAGTCGGGGCGGAGGGGGGAGAGAAGCATTTTGAGTTCGAGTAGGGCGGGGGACTTGGGGAGGGCGGAAGGGGTCGTCTGGGTCTGTATAACCAACCACGAAGATCAGTGAAAAGAAGAGACTAGCGAGAATAGATGTCTAAGTACCCAGTGTAGGAAGCCTCAGCACCGGCATCGCCCAGCTTTCTCCCTCCACCTCCGGCGCGGATGTAACCTCGAAGTCCACCTGCGCGTGCTCGTCGTCCACAGGATACGCACACGCGCCCGCCCGCAGCGCCCTCCCCACCTCCCCGTAGTTCGGCAGGTCAAACTCATACGGCGGCACCCACGTCGCCTGCACATCCATTTTCGGCGGCATGTACTCGATCTCGTCGAGGTCGTCATTTTCCTCCTCGGGCACAGACACGGTGGCAGGGAGCGCAATGGGCGACGGTGCGAGCGGGGAGACGTCCCACGGCCGGCCGTTGATGGCGGGGGTTTGGAACTGCAGCGGGTTCGCGTTGAGCTGGAGCCCGGCAAAGGCGGGCACGGACTTGATGGCACTCCCGCTGGTGCGTGGCGCCCGCACATGCGTGCGCGTGGCGCTCGGACGCGGGGCGCTCGCGGGGGTCGCACCTGCGGGCGTCTGGTTCTTCACGGGTTGCGCATCGAGGAGCAGGCGCGCGAGCTTAGTCTCGCCTGGGAGCGGGGTGGCGAGGACGGGCGCGGCGCGATTGGGGAAGGGCGTCTTGTCTTCGAGAGGGCGTGCTTTCGCTGTGGTAGGTTTCTTGTCGGTGGTAGGGTTGAGGAGGAGTTTTGTACGGGTTGGTTCTACATTCCCAACATTGTAAGTCAGATGCACAATTGTATAGGATAAACGGAGAGGAATGGGATGGCGAGGCGCAGAGAAGCTCTTGCAAGAAAGGACTGTCCAGAAATTCCTAGGAATTAAGGTGAAAAAGCCACCAGCTTGGGCGACTCGGGGCCATTCTCGGACGGGTCGCCTGGTCAAATCATCCATGGTGGCCGCCGCGCTATCCTGCGCGGCTTGCCTCACTCATAGGCTCCGCTCCGTCAATTTTGTGTTGATGGGCGATATCGACGCAGAACCCAGGATGAGTTCAGCGTTTTCTAATCCGCCCTAACAAGCCACTTGGGCTTCGAAGTGAACAAGAAATTCCGAAACCACTTTGACGTTGCAGGAGCTTCCCGTGGCCACAATAACGCGACGGAAGAAATGGACGCACGGACGGACTGCGGCTGGAGCGAATTCTGCATCTGCTTTTGCTTGCCCTTGCCGTGGACGGTCATAAGCAGCCCAGAACGAGCGTTCTCGCGCCCGGGGGTCTTGGCGTAGGCGTTCATGTTTGTGTGGAGACGGACGTCGGCGGGGCGCGAGGATAGCATCGCGGTGGAGAGGAAGTTGAAGGAGAGCACGGGACCGTGTTTGGCGCCATGCTCATCAGCCCGAAGAATAAACAACACCGTCCCATTTCTTTCTCTGCTTTCTCTAATGGCCACGACAGTTGGGTGCTTCTTCGCCAGCCAAAGAGAGAGTGAGGACAAATTGGAATCGAACTGCACGCCTTTTTCGGCCCCCACCCCTTGGAATCGAATCGCGGCACCAACTTCAAGTGACTGCGCGTCGAATTTTCCGGCCGCCCGGGCCAAGGCTGTTGCTTAGAGAACCGGCCGACATTTTCTGCCACCTTTGCTTGCCTCTGTTGTCCTTCTGGCGTCCGCTGGCTGCATCAAGATCATATATTTCTTCTCTGTGTGGCGGCCACAAGTTGCTACGTCATTTGAGGCGGCAAAGATTGGATTTGGGCCATTTTGCGAGGCTACTCATCATGTATGGGCCGCACGAGATTGCCGCCGTTCCTTTCGACCCGTGCTCTTGCAAGACACAGTTCCTGCTAGACGGGGTTTTCTGCCGTTAGTACATCTACCTTTTGACTTCATACTGCCAGGCGGCCTCCACAGTAACCTTGATACTTACAGTTCTCCGATCTTCAAATCTTGCCCGCGCCATGAAGAAATTACTGTAAGGAAATTTTCTTCCCCGTGCTTGAGAACTCTCGTCATTGTTATTTCCGGGTATCATGCATCATGGCCTTATCACTCTATGTATCTCCCTGTTCTACGATTCCTGACGAGTTCAAGTGCCCCAGATCAATGGGTACTTGATTCCATTTGTAATTCTGGGGAGTCCCTTGTTTGAATCAAGGCAGGCCTTTATTGTCACCTTTCTGACCGTTCATGTCTTTTTTCCCACCCAGCACCGACGTCCGCTAAAATAGCAAAACGGAGCCTTTGATAGTACAAACAATTCAAGTAATCATGATTTATGCTCCTGTTTGTTTCGTGGAATAAGTCCTGTATCGCCCGAGCATCGGATCAAGTGAGGAGGAGAACGAGGTCTGGTACTGTGTAAAACGAGAACGAACAGTCTATTCGATTCGGAATCTCCCACCATTCCGCATGAGAGTCCAAGCAGCTTTATTTTAGCCTCGATCCCATTTTCAAAATAATGATTCGAGTAGTAATATAGATCGAATGAGTATCGATATCAGCGAACTTGGGAGTCCCTTGTTCAAATCAAGACCAGGCCATGTCTGAGTGGGTGATTTTTCCCTCTCCCCAACTCTTTATTCCACGAAACTCTCTAAAAAACCGTCGAATTCTTGTGATTACTGTCGCAAAAGTCCTTTCTGGGAGATAAGCTAGTATAAGCCAGTATAAGCCGTTATAAGTCTGTAAGGTTTTTAGGGGGCCTATACATTTGATTATGGCGCTATCCTGACTTATAAGTACTTATGGAACTTATAATGGCTATAAGGTGTTACACGGGTTATAACACCTTATAGCCCCTTACATTCGGCTCCAGCGACAGCCGATACAGCTCCCTCCCCGCCTCATTCAGCTCCGATGCTCCAGATCGTCAAAAGTAATGAAAACAGGATTTATTCACAATTTAAACTATAATACATAAAGGTTATGTACTACTAGAATTTAAACTGGTCAGACATCAGACGTCGTAAGAGATTGACTTCGACATACCATCCGCGATGCGCAGCAGGAAAAGCGGTGCAGGATGCAAGGCCAGCCTCGGTACAGGCAGAAAGGAAGGGGTGGGGGAGGCTCACCTGAGCGTAGAGCGAGCTGATCTACATGGTTTCAAAGTCAGCCAGCTGTTAGAAAGAAGAATGTTGCAACACACCAGCAATCTGAGATAAGATGGCGGACCAGAAGATGGTTATCGGCTGGTTGACAAGGTACGGCCAATCAACAACTGAGGAGTGGATGTGGGAAGGGAAGCTCACCTGAGTAGCCTTGACGGACGCGCAGAGAAAGCGGCCGTTTTGGTGCTTCAAGATCCGACGGCTGTCGGTTAGATGAATATAGCAATGTAGCGGCGCTCCTAGGGATATGGAGGACGACAGACTGGGGAAGCAAACGAAAGGGCGGTGCGGTAGTGGTGATGGTGGTGGTTGAGAGTAAAGAAGTGGAGTCACAGAGTCACAGCTCGGGTGCCTTATATCTATTGTGGTAGCATGACGTCACTTTGCTCCACATGCTACCTCCAATGCAACCCATCGTTCCAGGGCATCACGAAGAGATATTCCACTGCGTGGCCATCAACATAGACGGCGACTCATTAATTTGGTAGGATGTTGTCCTTGTTTCAGTGCCGCTTACCGTCCGGTGCGACGGAAGTCATCGCTTTGGTCCGATTGTTCAAGAAATCCACCCAAAACTATCTGGAAGAATCGCCAAATTTTTGAAGACTCCCGCATGATATTTATTCTACCACAATATTTTGTGCACAGGGCTCATATGATTAACTGCTTTGGATGCAGCAAGGAGGATCACACATTTTACTTAGATGATGTAGCGGATTCGGACTAGGTGCCGAGAGCTTGTAATTAATTGACCCGTGAAATCATGCCCAAAAAGTCAGAAAGGTCTACCTCAATCGTGTTTGGTAAGTGTAGTATGGCTTCGGAGCTCAGAAGGTTATACCCCCTTATAGGTCCTTATACCTCGGTTATAAGTTGCGTATAACTTGGCTATAACCTTTCTATAAGGCAGCTATAA